GCCCCCGGTTTTTCCGACGGTGTAAAGGAAGCAAAAACAAAATGAAAAGAAAGGAAAAAGTACAGAAAGGGAGAGAAACATGAAAATAGGGTCAGTGCGAGCAGGAAGAGATTCACAGGTAAGGAGGGACCCAAGACAGTATGAAAATGACATGCACGAGAATCAAGACTGACCCAAACTGTTGTTAGCCCCTCAGGAGAAACAACGTAAAGACCCGGTGATCAGATTAAAGGGCAGGGGGGAAAATGCAAGAAATGATCAGGGGTATGTGAGGACTGAAAAAGGAATTTAAGGAAGTTTTTCAGAAGACAGGAAGGGTGTGGGGAAAACAGCACAGAAGGGAAAATCAAGAGGGAATATCCAACAAAGGGTTGGGTACATCCCAACAACTGAGGAGGAGGTGAAGAAGCCTAAGTGACCTTGCCCTCAAAGGGGATGGGACCGGACAAAATCTCCTATGGGGGCCTTTGAGAAGGAGCAGAGATGCTGGCGTGCCCTAACCACAATCTTCAACAATCCCCCTTAAAGTTGGTAAGACCTATGCAACAGTTAGGTATCTTTATTTCGAAACGTTTTGCCTACCAGAGGCTTCTTCAGTGGTACAGAAAAGTTGATAGAAGCAGAAGATACTTGAAGACGATGTAAACAGTCCCTCCCCCTTAAAAATTTTGAGGTGGTCAGTCCTTCTGGAGAAGACTTTTTCCGTTGTCTGAAACAAATGAAGTTTTAAGTGACAGAAGGGGGTTTTATAGTGCCAGGGGTGGGCGAGGTTGCTTTGGGAGGGTAGGTCCCTCTCAAACCCCCCGTTCCACTAGTAAGGTTGTCGAAGTTTATGGTCTGTACCAAGATACCCTTGTGTTGCAGTGTCTGACAGAATGAAAATTTAAGTTTACTCCCCTTTTAAATGGGGAATACCTGAGAAAAAGGAAAAACAGGTAATGTAGTCCCCTATTTAAGAAAAGGGAAAAAGAAAAAGAGGCATAAATAAGACCGTCTTTTAAGTATTGGCAAAGTCATGGGAAGATTATAGGAGGGAGTGGTCGAACACCGGGGGAAAGAACAAGTTATAAATGAAAAACCGCAGGGTTTATGGAAGGCAAATCTTTTCACAACCTCCTGGGTTTTAACAAGGTAACGAAGAAGACCGAGAGGAGGGGTGGGGGAGATTGCGTTTTCCCAGACTGCAGGAAGGCCTTTGACAAGTTCCCCAAAAGAGATTAGTGCAGAATGGAGGACAGGCGCATGTAAAAGGGAGGGCCTGCAATGGTAGGGGAAACCCTGACAGGAGGCAGCAAGAGCATGGTACGTGAAGAGGGATCACTTTGGGGGCCTGTTATGACAGGGTCCCCCGGGGGCGTTCTAGGCCAGTGCTTTTTTGAAATGGGAACGATATGAGGAAGGAATGGGGCTCTGAAGTGTCCGTTCGCGGACGTGAAGTTTAGAGAAGAATTAAATCGGCGGGTAAGGCAGGGCTGCAAAAAGGGCCTGGGCAGGCTGGAATTGGTTCAGAAATGGCTTTCGAATTCAATCCCAAATGCAAAGTCTGAGATTTTTGGGGGGGGGCAAAGAAGACCGCAGACGAGTAAGGCTAGGGGGACAAAAACTACAGACCCCCTCAGG